ATCTGGGTTTTTTTCTGATATAACATTACTCCTGTTGGCATCTTGTTTCTTGAGAAATACAGCTAGTGGCAGCTCTCCATATATGGAGAGTCAGTCTATTTTGACATGCTGGTAAAACTCATGAAAGCTAACGGGGACAAGGAACATACATAAGGTAAGCATGGAACCTACTGAATATAATAGCAGAGAAAACACTAAGAACATTCTGACTATGAATTCCCCCTTGATTTGTTGAATGGTAATAAGGTTTGCATTCCAGCACCCTTGTCAAGGTTCTGGAGGGAAAACCTTGGCACATTCAAACCCTGCCTTTGTGCAGACTCGTGGTGGAATGTTTTGATCTAGTGATGTGCTGCTTTCTCTACATTGAGCACAATTTAGTACAAATACTTCTGAGTGCTCTGATTTTATGGGAAATACACACTATAAGAGTTGAAGTAACTTGGATTCTTTTGCTTGAGAAAAGGAAAACTATTTTTAAGCATATAAATGAGGCAATGAAGAATGAATAAAAGAAAATGAGCTTACACTGCCATAGTTAAAAAGAAAGATGATGTCCTTACAGTGCTGATGTTTTAAAAATTCTGTAAGGTTTTGCAGGCTTCTGTAGAGGTGTTTAAAAATCAGAGAGATTAGTGATGTTGAACATTCATTTTCATGTACCTGTTGATTATTTATATGTCTTTTGAGAAATGTGTTATTAGCTCATTTGTCCATTTTTAAATAAGATTGTTTGTTTTTTTAATCACTGAATTCCATATGTATTTTGTATATTACCAGATATATAGTATGCAAATATCTCCCCCCATTCTGTAGGTTGTCTCTTGATTCTATTGTGTCCTTTGTTGTGCAGAAGTTGTTTAGTTTGCAATAATTCCATTTATATACTTTTGCCTTTTTTTTCCCCCTGTGCTTTTGGAGTCTTGTTAAAAAAAAAAAATCCTTGCCCATTCCAACATCCTACAGCCTTTGTCCTACGTTTTCTTCTGGTAGTTTCATAGTTTATGGTCTTACATTTAAGTCTAATCTATTTTGAGTTGATATATATATATATATATATATATAT